TAGTGGTCGGCAAGTTTTTTGGGCCACATTCACAAATCAAAAAAGGTTCACAAACTAGACAATACAAAACATTGATATGATATTCAATGAAATTTTCTAATTTTGGAATTTAATGCGAGCCGCATAAAATAGGCGTGTGAGTCGCCGGTTGTTGACCACTGCTCTAAACTGTTCAACAGTGTTATGTATTACGCAATACGTGAGTATATTGTCAAAAATAAATTGTTTGAATATATGACATCAAAAACATACAGTGACGTACATATATGTTAAAATGGCATTAAACAAATGTGCATATATTATGACACATGGCTCAGATAAAGAGTAGAAATAAACGCATGGTAAAAGTAAATTGGTCCATCAGAAAATATTTTAAAGTGTTTATATAACCGAAAGCACAATTCTTATCATTCTGTTATATAATAAGTCATAACAATCTGACATCGCGGGGAACATATTAGGGAATGACAAGTGTAAAATATACGCGATCGGGGTGAGACCTGCATTAGGGTTTTTAAAGAACATTCAGAGAGTTGAAATACTTTTAACGGATCTTTTCTAAGAGGTTTTTAATGTAAATTACATATACGAACATGCGGTGAAAATGAATATGTTAACCACTCCCTACGAATTTTACATATTTTTCAATTTCTTTTTTCCGAAAATATAATATGAAGTATCGTTTAACTATAGTTTTCTTGATGAGGACAGTTTAAATACTATTACGTGTTTCGTTGTATTACCATTAGTAATACTAATAGCATTGGAGATATTTTAGATAATTTTATAGTAAAATTATTCAAATTAACTTTTAAATTATATTTAACCACACGATAAATGGATACGTATCACACAGTGTGTTTCGCAAGGATTAACTGAGTTAACTTGATGGGATTATAAATATTTCATTATTCTTAAAGTCTTATCACTTTAAAATAATAAATTTTTGTGAGACACCTTGTAGAATCGAACAGAACCATATTACTATAGATTGACAAATGATTCTGTGAACTTTAATGAATAAAAATTATTATATACTATGTATACAAATGACGGTAAAAAAATTCTTCAATCCTATTCATCGACATAATATTTATTACTGCATTATAGGGCGGTATGTGATCGAACATATTATATAATATGCATATTCATTTTTACATATATAGATTGATATTTGGTTTGACCAAAATTTATATTATTTCAATGCCGCATCGATTATCGAATGGTTGTTATCAATTAAAAATAGTATCGGGACTATTTTTTTAACGTTTAATAACGGCATATACTATTTACGCGGTGTATAGCGTTTATGTTCATATAAAGTACAATATAATTATATATATATATATATATATATATATATATATATATATATATATAT